GCAGCAAATGAGCACATGCATCTTTGGCTAAGGACAGCCTTCATGTAGGTGGAGAGTAATCTAGGAGGCGAATATACTAGTCACGACTCTCTTTGTTATGGCGGTAGAAGCACAACTCTGGCTTAAGAGAAATAATAATCATAATAATCACAATCATAATAATAATAATTAGATTTATAGAACTTGAAAATCAGGGGTAGCCATGGCCACAGGATTGGATTTAGTGGTTCAAACTCAGGTTATCTCCCTATCATTCCCCCTCTCATCTGACCTTCCATTTGCAATGGCTTCATTCTTCTGGGCCACTCCAGCTGCCAGGGGACATGGCCACCAGCAGTTCTAGGATAACAGTTGATTTGTGACCTTAGAGATTTGTCTCCCAGTATTTCCTAGTCTAAAAATATGGGAGTTTCCTAGTCACTTAAATGAAGAACCTTATTTTGGCAGTTTCCCTTCCAGGGTTACGTTAGGACAATGTGGTTACCCTGCAGGACTATATAGGAACAATGTAGAGTTGCTTTTTTCCCCTGTTAATCCTCACCCAAGAATACTTTTCCATCAATTTTAGTGAGAGTGGAAGGGAGGGGTAGAGACAGAGAGAGAGAAACATTGATGTGAGAAGGACACTTCGATTGATTACCTCCCATAGGGGCCCCAATTGTAAAACTCAGATAAAGAAAAGCTCTTCGGTCTGGCCAGTGTGACTCCGTGGTTGAGCATTGACCTATAAACCAGGAAGTTGAGATTCAGTTCAGGATCAGGGGATGTGCCTGGGTTGTGAGCTCAATCCCCAGTATGGGGTGTTTGGGAGGCATCCAATCACTGATTCTATCTCATTATTGATGTTTCTATCCCTCTACCGTTCTCCCTTCCTCTTTCTGAAATCAATAAAAACACTTTTTTTTTTGAAAGGCAAAGACCTTGTATGCATAACCCATGGACACAGACAGTGGGGTGGTGAGGGCCTGGGGCGGGGGAGGCTGAAGGGAGTTGATGGGGGAATAAAGGGGACATTTGTAATACTGTCAATAATAAAGATTTTAAAAAAAAGTGTACCAGGGTCAGGCCCTGTTTGGGTAGCTCAGCTGGTTAGAGCTTCTGCTTAATATGCCAGGGTTGCAGGTTCGATCCCCAGTCAGGGCACATACAAGAAGCAACCAATGAATGCATGAATAAGTGGAATAACAAATCAATGTTTTTCTCTCCTTTCCTCTCTCTGTGCCTTCCTCTATCTCTAAAATCAGTATTTTTTTAAATTAAAAAAATAAATGAATAAAAGGGTTCCAGGGTCAGTGTACTTGGGAACTACTGGGTTAAATGAGTCTTATTACCACAGAACTGACGCAGGGATACACAATCACACATCTGAGGGGAGAGGTGGCAGCACATAAACAGAGACTTGCCTGACCACAGAGCGCTGCTTTCTTTGCAGCAGCTCACAGCACCTGTGCTTCACAGGACACACTTGAGGAAATGCTGATGGTCTGATTATTTGCTTTTTAAATTCAAATAATATCAGATTTAAGGGCAAGGATCAAAATTCACTGACCTGTTGTACAAGCAGGCATTTGCTTGAAGGTGACTTTTCATTTCAGGTGAAAATATCGCAATATCAGCACTGACAGGGACCACAGATAATAAAATCTGAGATTGTAAAATGAATTGTATAATAAACCACCTGAGGATTCTAATACCGTAATTTTGTGAACTAATATCTAGGCCCGTTGGCAATCTGGTCTCTGACCCTGTGTGTGTAACTGGGCCATTTTCCAGTTTAACCTGTCTACCTGACCAACTGCATTCCCTGCATTGTTTACTCCACCACAAGACTTGCTTTATCAGTTTACTTTATAGATTCCAAGGGCAATTGAGGCACTGGCCATATCTTGTGACTCTACCTGCTGATCATGAGTCAACTGAAACTACCCATTCATCTTATCTCACAACCCCACTTGCCGAGACCACTGGGCCAGTAGACCCTGGAGAGTCCAGTTGCCCTGCCAGTCAGAAAATGGATGATGTAAGTTTATGGTCTTGTTTACCTAGCAACCCTCCCTTTGATTCTTGTTTTTAAAACCCTTGCCTATTCTTCCCACCTTAGAGAGTGTCTCTGGTTCATGCTGAAGGCTATGTTCTCTGATGTGCAAATCATGTAAGAATCAAACTCTCTTAACTCCTGTGGACTTTCAAGTCCTGAGGAACTTGAAGAAATACACATAGTTGGACACCCTGCCAGGATGTTCTAATGAGGGCTGGGCACATGCCCATGAAAAAGACTGCCAGTTGGTTCTGAAATGCAGCCTCTGATCCAGAAATCCAATGACCAGTATTGGGACATCAGTCAAGAGTTTTCTTTCTTAAAATCTTACGTACTGGTTTCTTTCATTCAATGAATATTAACCAAGTGCCTTCTCTGTTCCAGGCTCTGTGCCTGGCAATGGCTTGACTCCATGCTAAAATCAAACAGGAAAGTTGTTCCTGTTTCAGCTTTAGTTTGTCTTCTTTTGGCGGAAGAGAAAAGAGACTATTCACCTTCATCTAGAAAGACTATTAAAAAAAGATATATATATATATTTCAGAGAGGAAGAGAAACATTAATGATGATAATCATTGATTGGCAGCCTTCTGCACACCAACTAATGGGGATCAAGCCTGCAACCCAGCATGTGCCCTTGACCGGAATCGAACTGGATCTTTCAGTCCACAGGCCAATGCTCTACCCACTGAGCCAAACCATCTAGGGCTAGAAAGACCCTTTGGAATCTTGAAAGAACTATTCTCAAACAGATTTCTAGCATATGTTTAATATGTCCTATTGGAGTTCTTGAACAGCAGCATCCAAAAAGGCAATTCTATAGTAAAAGAGATACTTGTGAGATTGTGGTTTATAATACTAGAGGCCCGGTGCACAAAAATTTGTGCACTCGGGGTGAGGGCGATACCTCAGCCCAGCCTGTGCCCTCTTGCAGTCTGGGACCCCTCGGGA